AAAGTATTCGGGCATTGATGCATTGGAATTTGTCTTCAAGCGAATAGCTAAGCTTAAAAGAAAGAGAGAGAGAGAGAACAGAAAGAAATACAATATTAATTTATAGCTTGGAAAAAACAATGGTTTTAGTTAACGATTTCTCTTCTCCCATAGGTTCTGCTACAAGCGCTCACAGCGGCTGCTTTGGCAGCTCCGCAAGGATATGACGTAGGTGCTCCATCAGGTACAGGACTCTCGACTGGACCAGGACCAGAGTCTGCGGGAGAAGCGAGTTCACACGAAGATGATTCAAGCCGTGGAGACGGCGCCACTGCTACCTGTAAAGAGGGTGAACTCCTACATGTAGATGGAACTTGTGTAATTCCCGATATCACAAGAAAAGTATTTCTATTTGAAATTCCCGAGCAGGAACAGCCCGTTGGCCCACCACCCAGTCTTCCTCCTCCGGCAGTAGAGCACAACATTCTCTTCATACGTCTCCCAGAAGAAGGACCGGCACCTGAACCTATTGTTCTTCCTCCACCAAGGCAGAACAACATTGTCTATATCCTCAACAAGATGGATGAACAAGTTCAGCGGGTAATCGAAGTACCAGCTCACCCTCAAGTGGATCCTGAAATTTATTTCGTCAACTACCAAGAAGGAGAAAACCCAACCCTTCCTTTGGGAGTGGACCTGGAAACTGTTCTCAGTTCTGCTGCAGCCGCTGGTGGCCAGGTCCTTGGTGGCACTGGTGATGTTGATGGAGATGTTGGAGGACAAGGAGGGAGCGGAACTATAAATGGAGCCGATTTAGGGAGTGTCAGTGGAGTTAATATCGGTTTGCAAGGTAATGGTGGCGCTGGAGCAATAGAACCGTCTGGCCTTTATGTGACGCCATAATTGTCCTGAATATTTGTCACTATAACTGTCCGTTTTTTTCTGTCAATCTATCAATCTATTTGTCTATGAGATACTATTATATATTAAAATAATATTATGCAAGAAATAATTTTTATTTATACCCACCAAAATCTATGTATCTGGTGTAAGATGAGTAGCTTAAGGAAATGAAAAATCTTCGTCTTCTACAAATACCAGGGTTTTATTCCAGTAGAAGTATTCTAAAATATTTGCTCAAGGCGTTTTAATTCACATACATAGTCTTACGAATGTAGCTTTAGTTTAACAAGGTCCTTCTGTTTTATCCCTGTTTATTTAACTAAGTGTATGAATTTACAAATTACAAAGAAAAATCTAGATGTATATGAGAAAAAACAAATAATTTCAATTGTAGCGGTTAAAGAAGCCCTTAATTCAATACAGAAAAGAATCTGTTCTCTGAAACATGAATACACTCTTGTACATTTTTATAAGAGTATGCATAAGATGCAAAGCGATGGAAGTCATTTCATTAAGTCCACAAGTTAATTTTGGAAATTTTGGTTTTAGTATAAGGTACCGCACGAACACTCTGCGTAGGGGCCAGCATAAAAAAAATATTTCAGCGGTAGAGTAGGTATCACATCTGCATGTCATTACTTGTAGTGCTCAAACCTATATGAATAGCTTCACTGTTTAATGTTCCTTAGCAGGGCCAGCCTGTTTGACCACCCCCGTATAATACGTGGAAGCTACACTTTTTATGTGTGGATATTTTACCAATATCATATTTTATTATGTAGTTATCATCATCATATTCAGTGAATCACCCTTATGCTTTTATGCCACTTCCGTTATTGTTGTACGTTACAATTTTAGTTATCATTTACAATACAATATACAATATCTACAAACTAAAGTAGTTGAAATTATTACAGAAATAAAGAAATACAGAATTTAGCTTTTGAAGAGTAAGAACAAGTCAGCGACCAACGAATGGCGTTATGATAGCAAGTACATTGTTGAAGTGTCGTAAAACGAAACGTAACCAAGCACTAGTACTTTATAACACCCGTTAAATTGCTATAAAAATGGAAGTGCAAGGAATTGTAAGTAACTATGCAAAGGCAGATCCTCATCCTTAGGCCCTCTATGGTGCCGGCTCCACCTATTTACACCACTTTACGGCGGTCCTATAACATGTTATATATACATGTGTATATCCTTATATCTACTCTATCATTATCATATTATATATATATATATATATATATATATATATATATATTATATATATATATATATATATATATATAGCTATATACTTTTTATCTGTATATATGTATATATTTATATACATAAAATATATTCATATATATATATATGTATATATATATATATATATATATATATATATATTATATATATCTGTATGGACACACACACACACACAACAACACACACACACACACACACACACACACACACACACACACACACACACACACACACACACACATACACACACAACACATATATATATATATATATATATAATATACATATATATATGTATATATATGTATATATATATATACATTATGTATACACACACACACACACACCACACACACACACA